CAAAAAAATAAATTTGACTTGCTTCATTGTGATATTTGCCTTATTGCAGTGGTCTGGAGCCAGATCTGCAATATCTCTAAGGTATATCTGTTACAGAGATAGATAGATAGAGAGAGAGATTTGCTATTTCTATCTCTATTTGAGCACTCATACATACACATTGTTAAAACTGAGCAAAATCGAATAAAAGTAACAATAAAAATAATCTGATATGTTAAATATGATGCTAATTACCATGCCTGTTGTAGTTACATTCAAGTGGAGGTATTTTTACCTACATAACTACTGGTGTTATTTGTCCAGAATTAAGTCAAAATTTTTTTTTTCTATTGTGTGGCAGCTTTGATTTGTTTTCTGGTGCCTGGAGTTAACATCACTGTTGATGGGAATGTCTCAACAATTACAGCCTCCCATTTCTTTGAAGATAAATGTACTGATTTAGTGATCCAGGCTTTAGTTTCTGCATTCTTAATTTTCCCCTTTTGTTCTTGTCCACTTCTATGGTTGAACCAGTAATTTTCAAACTGTGTGACATATTTTTGAGTTTTATAAGTATCATCAGCATTATAAGTATCGTCAGCACATAGGAAAAGAATGAAGATTACACCGAAATGAACCAGGAAGGCATGGGTGATAATTTCACACAATTGTGGGCATTCTGACCATGTCACAGAAACTATGGAAGCATCCCCAAATAGTGTGTCTACCAGTTGTCACTGCTCAGCCCATGTCACTGTTCACCACACTGACGGTGACTTGGTCATTTTATGAGCAGAGCTCTGATTAAGACTCAGGTCATAATTCCAGGCTCAAAGCTCTTTCTACTACATTATTCATAACAGCAGTAAGACAACAACAACTGACGTTTTTGTGGAACTGTAGAGTGTCTCACCGATCATGCGTGGTAGACAGAATGAATATCATTGATCTTTTTTATGTAATGATGCACTGTACGAAAATCACGACAGGTAGTAGGTGACCAGTAATTGGGATGCTATCTCAGACTCATTGGCCATTGGAGGAGCTTTCCCTCCCTGATTACAAATACTCAACTGATAACTGTTAACCAGGTTAACAGATAGGAATGCCCCACTCTGAATCCCTTGGATTCACAGGTTGGGCTAAGTTGATATTTGTTAGCCACTTTCCCTATTATTTAGTCTTATCCAGTGTAATTATTTCTTGGTGGTGAAACAACCAAATCAATAATAAAAATAAAAATTTACTGTACCTTCTTGTTCCACATCACTGCCTTCAATATGGCACTTGAGATTTTAATTTTCTAAGACAACATTATCACTTAGGGTTTAGGCATCTCTTAATCTGCTGACTGATGGAGTGTGTGGCAGGCATTTTCACACCAGGACCATATGTGATATAATTACCTGAGCATTACAAAGGAGATAGGTATAAGAGCCTTCGCATATCTGTTACAGAGACGATGATGCTTAGGATAGTGAGAATAGGAGTGGAAATTGATGGTAGGGAAATAGTTAAAGGCAATCGATATGAATTGGAATGCCCTTGTTTGTTTTCTTTTGAAACCTTAAAGTTATCCAAATGGAGTGTTAATTTTAAAAAAGCTGTTTTCTTGGGAGAAGACAATATTTTGAAATGTTTTTAATTTACGAGAGCCCGTTTCCTTCAGTCTCCCATTGCTGCATGAGGTTGAACAAATGTTAGCAGCAACTAATTAATTAAGTTTGCAGAAAGTAGCAGCAGGGGATTGGAAACTTGAAGTGGAAGTGAGCTTTTTTACTGTAAACATGTTGCCTGCCTGAGAGACTATATCTGGACTGCGTGCTTGCTGAGTTTTCCAAAGAAATGCAGTATCTCTGGGAAATTCAGGCTTGGCAAAGGGAAAAAAATAACATTGTCTCTTGCTGGGAAATCCATTCATTTATTTCTTGGGTTCGTCTCTTGTGTTTTGCTTGGTTCTGGCCAGACACTATGATGATGCTATCCTCTCTGGGATGAAGGTGGCCCCATATTACCTGTCCTCAGAAGGAAAGGAACTAATATTTGTGAGTACTTTTTCTATGGCTCTTTAGATGTATCCTTTCATTTCCTTCTGTAAAGCCGATATAACTCTGTCCTTTTACCGATAAGAAAAGTACAACTCAGAATTGGAGAACTCACTAGGGATCAGTTTATAGGCAATGAAATTGGGATTTGAACCCAGACTAATCTGACGTGCAGTTTTTCGCTACCAGGATGCTTAATTAGCTGCAGCCTCTTGCCTGGGTTCCCTTATGGCCGAGGGAACTGTAACTCAGGGGAAAGACATAGGGCCATGGAATGTGAGAGGGTGATTTTTGGACCTGAAGGTGATCTACAGATCACACTGAAAAGTACGAGTTAGAGCTATTCCTGAGAAAGATTCTATGAACAGGAGTCCTCATGACTATGTTGGGCTAGTCACCTTCCTTTCCTCAAGATATTGAACCCAGACGTCACATTGGAAAAAGTGAAGGGATTAAAGATGAAAGGGGATGATATAGGGAGAGAGGCCAGGATGGCTGTAAGGGAGGGATTCTGGGAGATCCGAGGTTGAGGGAGTGGAAAATCATGATGAATCCACAGGAAGTTGTTGTTGTTTTTAGATTTTTTTTTTAATTTATTAGAGAGAGAATGAGGAGGGAGGGGCAGAGGGAGAAGCAGTCTCCCTGCTGAGCTGGGCACCCACCATGGGGCTCAATCCCAAGACCCTGAGATCATGACTTGAGTCAAAGGCAGATGCTTAACCAACTGTTATTCAAAACTCCATGTCCATCATGGGGCTTGAACTCATGACCACGAGATCAAAAGTCATACCCTTTGCAGATGGAGTCAGCACAGCACCCCCACAGGGAGCTTTCTGTAGAGAGGAGGTAAGAGCAAAGGCAGAGAGACAAGTAAGGACAAAAGTTGAGACAGAGTTGACTCCCAGCCTTTGGGGCTGTTTCAGTTCCCAGGGTCTTCGTGTTCCCATCATGATGCAAGGCATGTTGATCTCGCCATGGCAAGCCTACCACTTCAGTTTCATCATTTTGCTCTTTGAGCTGCCAACACGGGGCACTAGGACTATATAGATTAGAGACTTGGAGGGGACATTTGTTAGGAATGCCATAAACAATTCAGGATGCTAAAAAAATTCTGGACTATCTAAGGAGAACTGCACAGGGGTTTTCTCAGAGATTAAATAGGACTTAAGTCAGATCATTGGTTTTTTATTGAGTTTTTGATGGATATTCCTGGTAAAAACAATCAATGCAGAGTGAAAATTATAGTATCTATACCTGTACTTGGTAAAATATGTTAGAGTCTATAGCTCGCCTGAAAAAAAATGGAATGTTCTTGACTATGTTTAGGTCTCCAAACCTTAAATCAGTAAAATTACACAGTAGAAGCTATGTTTGCAGTGGAAACTCAACCGAAGCTATGAGTGATGTCATTTTATATGGTAAAAAATACCGATGAATAAATCAAATCTCGGCTGTAAATTTATGTAGAAAAAAAATTGAGCTAGACATGTCAGTAAATAAGAATGAAGTAGAAAATACTGGTAAATCTTGCTTATTCTATATAGGAATTATTTGTGGAATTAATTTGGGCTAATGGGAACTTCTTCAATAGTATGTCATGGCAGGCTCTTGGCTCTGGCTCTAACAACTAAAAAAAAGAATGGAATATATTGAAAAACTGTATTTTTAAAGACATTCGAGAACTAAGAAACAAAAAGTATTAGATACATTAAAATTCCAGAGGGATGTTTGCTTCCTGGGTTAGCTGAGGTGACTGGCTGTTTTGTTTCCTGGGGACAACTATACGTATGGTCACAGGCTGAGGGTTGCTCAGGCATGGCCTAGACAGAGGGACTCTGCAGAAGAAAGACAAACTTACTGAGGAAGCTGGCAAGCTAGGATCTAGAAGGACTCTAGATGTCTAATTTTCTTAGGGGACATATACCGAGTACTGGGGTGGCCCAAGAGTCTAGGAGGCTGGGCTGGGAAAACAGAGGACAGTGTCTTTCTGCTGTCAAGTGCTCGGACAACCATCCCAATGATGGAAGGACCTACAGCGAACACACAGCTGTCCTTGAGATATTTGAAAACAGGAGCGGACTTTTTCTAATGGATGTTTCAATCTGGCTCCAAGTCAGCCCAGTTCCATACTGGACTGAGGTGATCAATTCCTTTCCCCATCTGCCTTCCAGAGGAATGTACAGACCCTCTGGGGGAAATAACAAAGACCCGTCTCTCAGACTCCTTACACATGATGTTACCTATACAGTAAAATATTACAAGGCAGGTGATGAAGCAGAAAAACAAGACTAACAATTAAGAGAAAAGCAAGGAATAGAAGTAAACCCATAGATGGTCCAGATATTGGAATTCATTCGAAGGCTTTAAAAGAGCTAGTATAAATATGCTAAAGAAAATGGAAGAAAAGATGTACAAAAGAGGAGAAAAGATGGGAGAGAACCAACTGAGAGTTTGAGTCTATATAAAGGTATCAATCAGATGTTCTGAAACCTAAAAATATTATGTCTGATATTAAAGACTTCCCTGGCTAAGTCTAGCAGCTCACCAGGTGCAGCAGAAGACAGAATTAGTGGACTCAGAGTCGGACCCAAAGAAAATAGCCAAACTGAATCACAGGGGGAGAAAAAAAAAATACTGAGCAGAAGAGATAAATGGGACATAGTGAAATGTTTTAGCACATTTATAAATTTGAGTCCCAGGAGGATAAGAGAGTGGCAATGAGGAAGGAGAAATATTTGAAGAGATAATTGTCAAGTATTTTCCAAAAATTGATGAAACACATAAACCTCTAGATTCAAGAGGCGTGGCAAACTCCAAGCAGGATAAACACAAAAACCCCGTGCCTTTGGAGACACCAGGGTGAAGCTGGTAAAACCAGAGATACATAGAACCAAGGAGGTCTGCTCTAGGAAGTAGCTTCTTTATGAAAATTCACTGGTGTTGGTATTCCTCTGATTAAAATGTCTACATTTACAGATATAAAAGCAGTGTGTTCCTGAGGTCCAAATTACAGGAGGAAAACCAAAGGAAAAAAAAAGGCAGGGTTCGAGCATCATCTTTTTCCTGGTATGTGTGGGTGAGTTTGTTCCTTGTCATCACAGAACCTACCTGGGATCCTCCTGAGGATTTCTCCTTTACCAACCCTCTTGTTCCCTTACCTGATCATTTTAGCTTTGGGGCTGAACGTAGGGCTTTTAGTTCTGCTTTTTTGCTTAATTGCTCTCCTGAATCTTGGAATTTCTAGATTTTCAAAGTGGCATTGCTCTGGCCGTTACTGTTTCACCAGGTGAGTGCACGGCCTGGAGTGTTCTGGTGGGAGAACCCTCTTGGTCCCTGAAAAACGGTGTCTGGTAGTCAATTGCTTTTGCCGTTGGGGTCTGTTTCCTATGGTTGGAGCAGATGATCAGGAAGGAATAGTGCAATGGATTGTATTTACTATTCTGGGTTTGCTCAAGTGATTTTGTTTTAAGCAGAGACTACACAAATACAACAAAACAGGTAGTCCCTAACAGGTGGATAGTTGGAATGTACTTAAAACACCTGGAGAGGGATGGATGTCAACCAGTGTCCTATCTTTTCATGCAGATGACGGAATAGATGTGTCTTATCTCACTTGAACATTTGTCAGTGCCTGCACTTTCCCAGTTATGCCTTGCTGTAGGTCTTAAGGTGGTTTACCTGCTTTCTTTTCCCTGTCCGGTTGGTTCCTGAGCCAGTAGTAGGCAGACCTGGTACTGGATCGAGATCCTCATGACATAGCGAGTGCAATCTAGAATTGTGATCGGCTGCTCAGGGCAAGAGTCAAGTGTGCGTGTATGTAGTCCTTGTACATAACCTCCCTTGTTAGCCCTGTTCTCCCACAGATTCTGGGGGACTGTCAGCACTGTGGTCCTCTTATGTGGGACCCCAAGATTCCCACCTAGCTCTTGCCATTCTCTCTCCCAAGAGATAGATCCTGATCCAATGCTCCTGGCTGTTACCTGGGGTTCATTCCCACCTACTATGTCTATATTCAAGTTCATTATTTCCTTTAATGTTTTTATTGATCACTCAGTGTGTGTCTGCTGCCACACCAGGTGCTGAAAACACGGTGGTGAACAAAATGGTCTAAACCTTTTTCTCGGGGAGTTCATATTCTACTGGGGAAGAAAGACACTAAAATAACCAGAGAAATAAATATCTGATGATAAACTGGGATAAGCACCATGAAGGATGAGAACAAAATTCTAAATGGAAATACCAAGCAGATCTAATGCAGATTGGGTCAGGGACCAGGGAAAAGCTTTTGGAGTCAGGCAAGTGAAGATTATGGGAGAAAGTGCTCAGAGGTGACGCTGAGCTTGGCTTTTCTGATGGCTTTCCTTGTGGTCAGTGACATCAGAGCCGTGGTTGCCAAGCCCGGCTCTATGAGTTTCCTGTGGCTGCTGTAACTAATCCCCACAAAGTTAGTGGTTTCAAACAATAGGACCTATTTTCTCATAGATCTGGAGGCCAGAAGTCCAAAATCAGCAACACAGCACTGAAATCTGGGTGTCACCTGGGCAATACTCCTTCTAGGTGCTGCAAGAACTGCAAACTGCCCTTGTCAGTTTCTGGTGGCAGCCAGCGTTCTCGGGCTTGTGACCACATCACTCCAGTCCTCAACACTGCAAGACTCTGGATCTTCAGCCCTCTCTCTCTGTCCCTCTTTACATTAACCTATTCTTGTGTGTGTCCAGTTCCCTCGGCCTCCGTTTTATAGGGACACTCGCGAGCGCATGCAGAGCCCACCTGAATAACATAGCATCGTCTCTTCAGCTCAAGATCCTTAATCACATCTGCAAATCCTCTTCTGCCATCTAGATACCATCTATGGGTTCCAGGGATTAGGACCTGATATCTTTGGGGGCTGACAGTCAGTCACTTGGATCTCTTTGGGAACTCCTAACTATGCAATTGCTTGGGCTCCACTTCAGATAATTAGGTCAGAATCTCTGGGTGAGGCTTGGGCATGGGTATTTTTGAAATGCTCCCCAGGTGACTCTACTGTGTCACTAGGGCTGAGAGCTACTGATGAGTGCAGAGCAAGGGAAGAGTGCTTGCAGGGGCAGGCAGGAAGTCATCACCGTTTATGGACCTCTGCTGCCCTCTGAACTTGGTAAGCCCGCTTAGCTAACGACCCTGTCTGAATGAGGCCCTCACTTCATGGGCCTTTTTGAAAGGGATTGTGATTTACTTCCCTGGGGTTCTTGGTCCTACCTCCTTCAATCCTTACTACTTCTTTCCATCAAGCTGACACCGAGTTTCTAGAGTGTGTGACCCCCGAGTCAGTCCAAATTGTGAAGAAGATACAGAGCTAACAAACCGACGGAGAGGAAACCTAGCTGTCGTCACACAAATGTAGAGTTGAGCTCCTTGGAGTTGGAAGCCCAAGTCTGGAAAGCGCGTATGGACGTACATGCGTAAATTTGTAAAAACAACGAACGTCAGTCTGCACTACAAACCAATGTTAGAGGCAGCGCCAGAACTGGGGAACATGCTGGGAGCCTGAGCCCTCCAGAAATCACTACTTGTTTTAGGCATGAAAGATAACTTTTTTTCTTTCTCACTGTACCCACTTACCTATAAAAAAATATTGATTCTTTTTCAGTGAATATATTTGGGGGGAAATCAGAATTTGGCCTATGAAGACTCTCCTACCCACCTCCCCATTGCTATCTGGAGCCTTGGCCCTAAGGACAAACGTAGTCTCACAAGCATGTAGGCCTGTCACTTGGGAGCTCTGAGAAAGACCACGTCATCTGCTGAGAGTCTGATCATCTGAGAAAAAGATCCCATTTAGGGAGTTCCTATAAAGCCTCCCTAGCTCTTTGCTGGTAGATCAACATTTTTAAATGGCAGTTTGAGAGAAATTCCCAAGCCCAGCTCATTACTGGCCCACTGGGGATTAATCTGAGGGCAGCCATCTTTGCTTCAACAACCACTAAATTGTCTCCCAGAAGGTGAAGAAGCAGTGATCTCACTTTGGAGGCTGCAGTCTTTTCATGGTCAGATCTGCTGATAGGCTTCAACTGCAAGGCAATGTTGCTTGCATGAGTTGCATTTTTAATTACCGGGAATGTTTACCTGGAAATTTTTTGTGGATGGGTCCATAGTCCATGTCCATCCTCCTCCTGTCCTGACCCATGGTGTCACGCTATCTCTAGCATAGTGTCGCATTCAGTTTGCTACTACTCGTTGCTGACATAACCTTACCCAGGGCTGGATATCATGGAGAGATTCAGTGAAAACATGGTGCTTCTTTTGGAAAGTTCTTCTACCATCTTCCCCCTCCTAACTACCCTCTCCTTGTTTCCGTAACTATGTGGACCAGATTATTTCTCAACCCTTGGTGAAGACATTAACATGTGTCTGTTTCCTAGTGGGCTCACCTAGGGGTACTCTCTCAATCGAGGGAAGCTGAGCAGTGCTATCGTTTTTCCTGGGTCCTTGGTGCTAAGCATGCTCAGTGCTTAAAAAAAAAAAAAAAAATCTGAATTTATGTTGGACTCCCTTTCAGAGCTCTTTTAAAAACCTTTCTATTTCATACGTCCTCCATTTTCCAAAATGGCAGTTGCATGTCTCGTGACTATCTCACCTTTTGCCTTGATGATCTCATCTAGGTGGAAACCTATGAGTCATCATGTGGTCATCACAAAAAATTCTTGCCTGCTAAGATCTGGCAGGTGGTCCCAGTAATACCTTTCTTATCTAGGAAGTAGTTCAATTATTTTCACCTATGACAAAACGCTGAACTCAGGAAGAGAGGACAGAGGGATTGGAATTGCTAGCTCCCACCTCTCCCCCCACCCCCCTTTGTGGGGTAAGGAGGCTGGAAACAGCCTTGCTCTCAGGCATGAATTCCCCTCTTTCTCCGAAGAGTAGAAGAGTAGCCGTGTCCGAGGCATTGGCATGCAAACACTTGCAAAGTGAAAATGGATACACTTCCACAGCTCCTCATCCCTGGCCTCCCGAGGACAGCTTGCCAACCGTGCATGCATGTTGGTTTGGCACTGAGACAAATGTTCCCTGGAGCATAGACTGAAACCACCAAACTGATATCACATGGGACCCCAGCCAAATCCTGACCTTGCTCTCTGTAGGTGAGCGGCTGCGGAATTAACCTGTGATGGTCTCCTGCTCCCGCCTGGTTGGTGTCCTGGGTTTTTGGTTTTGGGTTTTTTTTTTTTGTTTTGTTTTGTTTTTTTCAATGGCAACATTTGAATCTTAACTGCTCTTCTCACTCCCTGGTATCTACCAGCCACAAAACCGCTTTCCTGGTCTTGGCTTGTGAACAGTGGGCTGCTTCTTGGCTCCAAGAAATGGGCAAACCACACGATTTCTCCTTGCCTGGTGTCTTCTTGCCCTTTGAGAGAGAAGGGCCACTCATAGACTGTTCCAGAATCGTGCCTGGGTGGCAGGGCGTCGCGGGTGTCTGTGATCGCTGTCTGCTCCTTTTGCCTCCTCCTCCTCTGCATTTTCTCCCACTGCTCCAACTCTTCCCATCCCCTTTTTTTGTTTCCAACCCTTATTTATTCAGAGCTTCCAATATTCTAAGTTTTTCATGAATTCAGGGCTTTAATTTAGCATGTGGGGTGCTGGCTCTTCCAGCAAGCTGCTTTGGTCATTATTTCCAACTTGAGGGAATAAAGAGGCAGCAGGGTGCACTGGGGAGAGTGGGGGCTGGAGGCCAGAAGGCTCGGTACTAGTCCCAGCTCCACTTCTAATAGGCTGTGGGACCCCGGCCGGGACACACACTGGCCGCCAGCCTCAGTGTCCTTTCCCGAGTCGGGGTGAGCCGTTTGGACACACAGATTTCTGAGACTCGTCCCGTCCCATCATTCTGGGGGGCTCACGGTCGATGTGAAACCCATATGGGGTTGTGCCAATCTCACTTCCCTTTTTCTTTTGAAAAACTTTATTGTTAAATGAGTGAATGAAGAGATGTGAGCAGAGTCCCTAAGCTTGATGTTTCCACTGCAGAATGCTGGAGGCAGGGAA